CTAATAAATTACAACATGAATACAACATAAAAGAAGTAACTAAGCTAACTAATCAGCCCTAGAAAGCGAGGAATGCTCATGCATGCACGGATTTTCACCTGAAATGCCCATTGTTCTGCTACCAGAATGCCTCTGTTGCACAGTTAGAACATCTTTTCACCTCAGCCTCTGCTCTGTTCTGTTCCAAAAAGTTACCGCTCAATTTGACAAAAGTAGGGGCCAGCCGGCCACAAAAGGTAGCCTGCCGTCCAAAAGAAGTGGCCTACCGAATAGATAAAGTGGCTTTCCAGCTACTAAAGCCTGGTTCCTCCTACTATAATAGAAAGCATACAAAGCACAAACAGGATATTCTCAAGGTATGTTTGTACACCGTACCCCTCTTTATCATCAAACAGCTCAAAGGAGTGGCAAGCTCAATTCGCAAGCCATCAATCGATGAAATTTCATTGCATGATGGCCTATGAACCAAGATGTACAAATTCAATAAATGTACAATAAAAGACTCTCAAACCTCCTCCCTATCATGGATTGATCAAGAGAAGTGGTTGACCTTGGAAACTTGAACTATTTCATCACTAGCAAGTATGAAATGCTTCAAGTTTCTATGTATTCAATTAACATCTGATTGAACACCAAATTGCTTATTATCTTGCATCATTTTTAGTCCAATTTTGTTACTTCATTTTAACTACCAACCATTCCTTAGTTCATTAAGTTCAAAAGTGAAGATTAAGTTCTCTAATGGAAATGAGTACCAAACCAAGTGTTGTTTTAGGCATGAGAGAAGTGTCATGCCGTTGGTAATGAATCCTCAAAAGGATTAAACCATCAAGCACAATACCTCTATCTCAAGCTTAAACAAGCAACTAGTTTGAGACAACTTTCAAAGCCAAGAAAAGAGGGAGGTTGCAGAGGTGATTAAATATGAATACAGGTATCGAAAGTAAGAAATAAACACTATCAACTCAAATAGATTGGTGGCTAAGGCCTAAACACCAAGCCTATGAGGACAATTACACTACAAGCATGCTATACAAAGCTCAAATGTAGAGAAATAACTAAAAACAGTCCTAAAACAGTCCTAAAACATGTTGGAATTAAGACAAAAATAGCTAAAACAATAAGCTATAACATGGAGCAAGTTAAGCTAGTAAGCAAGCACAAGATGGAGAGGCTACCTCCTCCATTTTTGGGACTTCAAAACATGGTTTTAGCCACTAAATAAACTCTAAGATTCAGCAGTAAAAAGCTCAAAAAAATTTGGCAAAAATGTGGGACACTCAAGGGCAAAGGCCTAGGAGATGACGTACAAAAGAAGGGTGATCCACCCCTCCACCCTTGATGGCCTTAAAGCACAAGCTTCAGCCCAAAAATACAAACTATAAACAGTCCAAGAACAGTTCAAAAACAGTAGGAAAAATAGCAAATAAATCAAAGAAACAAGCCAAGACTTATACATTTTCAAGAGGAGAACCCTTTCTAGGTGACAAACCAACACTTACACGCCCTCAAGAGCTCAAAGTAAGCTCAAAAGTACCTCAGTTCAAATACCACAAGGTTTGGTTTAGAATGTATAGGCGAAGGCTTAAGAATTTGCAAAAAGAGAGAGGGAATTGTAGAGAGAGAGAAATATTTTTGCTCAATAGCAAATAAATCAAAGAAACAAGCCAAGACTTATACATTTTCAAGAGAAGAACCCTTTCTAGGTGACAAACCAACACTTACACGCCCTCAAGAGCTCAAAGTAAGCTCAAAAGTACCTCAGTTCAAATACCACAAGGTTTGGTTTAGAATGTATAGGCGAAGGCTTAAGAATTTGCAAAAAGAGAGAGGGAATTGTAGAGAGAGAAATATTTTTGCTCGAAAATTTCCAACCCTCAAAAATGGAAGGGGAGGTCTTCTATTTATACAAAAACATGAAACTCACTTAGAAATATCCATACATATACGTGTGGGCAGATGCATGCACCTGTGGAAATAGCTGGCATAGCTGGCATAAATATATGCAAAAACACACAAGTGGCCGGTAGGCCACTAATGTTGGTCGGTCGGCCACACAAATGGCCGGCAGCCCACACTAGTGGACTTGCAGATCCTAGGGTTTTTAGGCTTGAAAAACTGTGGTTTTGGTCCAAAACAAGGCAACAGATGTGTAGGGCTTGAAGGCTCAAAGTTGTGGCATTTTGCTGAGAACTTCAAGCACTTGATAAGCATATACAAATTCATCATTGGGTGCGCAAGTGGTGGCGCCCAAGTCATAAGGGTAGTCAAAAATGGGGTGTCTGCAATATGTCTCTGTTTAGGCTACCTAGAAGTGTGGCAAAAGAGATTGACAAGATCCGCTGTGAAAAAGAAAGTTCACTTAGTGAAATGAAAGGATGTAATGAAGGATAAAAAGCATGGTAGGTTGGGAATATGAAATTTACAAGTAGTGAACAATAGCCTACTTGCTAAGTGGTGGTGGAGATTTGGGAAAGAAGATAACTCATTGTGAAAACAACTCATCTGCAGTAAGTACAAGTTAGAGGGAGGTAGATGCTTTCCCTTTCTTATGGAGGTAAATAATATTTCAAGATTGTGGAGTGATATTATACTTGTTAATCATTCTAATAGTAGTTTGGCCAGCTTTTATTTGGACAATGTTGAAATTAGGATTGGCAATGGTGAAAGAATCAACTTCTGGGTAGATAATTGGATGGGAACCAATTGTTTGAAGTTCCAATTTCAGATTTTACTACTTATCAGTGAAAAGAAACACAACTTTGAATCTGCAGGTGAATAGGGCCAGAAACCAAAGCAGTTGGGAATTCAACTTCAAAAGACCCTTATTGGTGTGGGTGGAAGAAGAACAGCAGAGACTACATGATGCTCTAGGTGAGGGCTCTGCATTGAGATTGGAACAAACTATGAAGCTGATTCTTCAAGTATTTTTAGTGTTAAATGTGCTGTTGATTGGTGTGAATCATTGAATGGTCATACTCTGAAACCTCTTGACTTGATTTGGAACAATCCTTCTCCACCTTAAGCCCAAGGGCTTCTTTGGTTTGCATCTCAAGAAATAATTTTTGAGAAAAAATTTCAAAATTTTGTTTGGTTCAAATTTATTGAAAAAAAAAATCCAAAATCACTTTCTCTGTCGTACACATCAATCAATCACTTTTTTTCTCTCATCTTTCCTTCTCAATCACTTTTTTTCTCACACACATCTACTCAACTACAGCAAAATATCAAAACATCCCACACCCCCAAAGTCCAAAACTATTTTCAAAATATACAACCAAACAAACCAAAAAAAATTCTAAACTCTCTCTCTTTAAAAAAGAAAAGAAGTTTAAAATACAACCCAATTTTTCTCTTGGTTGGCCTGGAAAAGGAGGATTAAGACCTCAGATTATTTACATAGAATTGATGTTCTTAGTAATGATGTCAGATCTGAGTATGTTATGTCATTCTGAGATTGAATCACTCAATCATGTTCTGTTGATTTGCCCCTTTACTTGGAAAGTTTGGTCCAACATAATCAAGTGGTGGGGTTTACAATGGGCCTGTCCTAGCTCAGTGGACATGCTTATGCATTGGCGGATGAGTTGGAATTTTAGAAAAACAGAAAAACAACTTTGGAGATCAATTATTATTGCTAGTTTACGGTCCCTTTGGTAGTGTAGGAATGAATATTTGTTCAACGAACTGCAACCAAACTGTGAAGATCTTTGTGAGCTAATCAAAGTAAGAGTAGCCCTTTAGATGAAAACACACTCAGTGGGATAAGGCTACACGGTGGATGATTTTGTCTACAATATTCAACAAGTTAGACGCTGTATAGTGTGATTGTTGTAGTGTCGTGCGTTAGTTCCTCACCAACTCTTTTGGCCTAAGTTAGCACATGATAGTGTGGTTTTATTGGTACCAACCTAGCTGGAATTAAGAAGTTTCACTTTGATGCTTTCGCTCTTGTCTCTTTTAATGATATTTTTCTTATATGTATCATTTTGATTTTATTAATAAAAGTCTCTCTTTTGTTATTATACGTACTGTACCAGATATTTCTCTTTAATCAAATACATTGAATTGATTCAACAATCTCTCAAAAACATTTATGTCCAAACATCATTAAATGTTTAAATGTTATTATTTTTTTAACAACTAATTACATTTAGTCTCTTCTATTTTTAGTATAATTTTTAATAAAATTATTAGTATGTGTAGAATTATTCCTATTTTATATGTGTTGGAGGATTTTTATTAGATATTTAACAATTATAAAATATAAATATAAATTTATAATTAGTTTTAATTTAAAAAAATCATTACACGTAGAGACGGATCTAAGATTATGTCTTTGAGAGGGCTATTATATAGTATAAAAAATTAGAAAGCTACTTTATATAATTTTGAAATTATCTATAAAAAATTTAAGGGTGCGAATTCATATAATTTGAAATTATCTTACGGTGCTTCTAAGCCTTAACTATACAGACAAAACTTGTGGAAAATGTGTGCCTACAAAACAAACTATCCTGTTGTTTGGTAGAGAAAAAGTTTGAGAACTATCCTACTGTTTGGTAGAGAAAAAGTTTGAGAGAGAGAGAGAGAGAAATGAGAGAGTGTGTGTGAGAGTGACTAATGAATTGCTCTGGAACCACGGGTTGACACTACAAGAAAAGGGGGTAAAAAACACGGAAGCATTAGCGACGGCGCTTGTCCCGTCGCAAAAAATGGTTTTTTGCGACGGCAGCTTAAACCGTCGCAAATGAAGGCTTTAGCGACGGCGTTGTCCCCATCGGTAATAAAAAATGCGCGGATAGGGGAATAAATGCATCAGTATTAGCTATTTGAATTTCTGAGTAAGGTTTTTTTTTTTTTTCCTTAGGCATGTGCATGCTTTATAAAGCAGCTTAACCACAGAGACTCTGGACTGGAGTCCTCCAAGTGCATAATCTGCCATGGATTTTTTTCTATCACACATAAACACTGCCATAGCTGAAGTCTTATCCATATTTCTAGTTCTCTGCTATTTTCTATGGATATCTAAAAGAGCTGCTAAAAACAGCACAGCACCAGAAGCTAGTGGCGCATGGCCCATAATAGGCCACCTTCACCTCTTAGGAGGCTCTGAGCTTCCCCACATAACCTTGGGAGCCATGGCGGATAAACACGGACCAGTTTTCACCATCCGGCTCGGGTTGAAACGAGCTCTTGTAGTGAGCAATTGGGAGACAGCCAAAGAATGTTTCACCACCAACGACATAGCTGTGTCAAGCCGTCCCAAGTTTGCAGCGGCAAAACACCTAGGCTACAACTATGCCATGTTTAGTTTCTCCCCATATGGTCCCTATTGGCGTGAAATCCGCAAAATAGCCTCCCTCGAGCTACTAGGAAGTCGCCGCGTCGAGCTTCTAAAGAATGTGAGAGTCTCTGAAACTGAGACCTCCATGAAAGTACTTCACAAGCTTTGGAGAAAGAAGAAAAACAGCTCAGGCCATGTGTTGGTGGCTATGAAGCACGGATACTTCAAAAGGGGTGACGTATCCGTATCGGATACTTATCGGATACCGATACTCCTCGGATACTCGCGGATACGTATCAGATACTTCTTAAAAGTATCAGATACTTCTTAATTAATTTTTTATTAATTTTGAAGTATCGGATACTTAATTTTGAAGTATCGGATACTCGAAGTTATATATTACTTATAATATTTTGTTTAGTTCTTTGATAAGAGGAATATAGTGAGAGTTAAAGTAATAGAATTTGTCAAATTGATGTATCCTTGTTGTCTCTCTCACTTCTCTCTCACTTTTTCACTCTCTCACGTTTCTTCTCTCTGCTCTCATTCTTTTTTTGGTGTTGGCATGTAAGAATGATGTTTAATTTGCATTTGCATTTGCTTTTGCTTTTAGTTTTGGATGTTTTATGAATGTTTGAGCACTTTTAGGTTAATAGGAATCCCTCTCCTTATTTATTAATTTACTTTAAGTTTTATTTTCATGCATATTACATTATTAAAATTATATCAAAAAAAAAAATTATGAATGTATCCCCGCTGTACCCGTATCGTAGTTTTTCAAATTTTGACATATCGCCATATCCACATCCCCATATCACCATATTCGTATCCGTATTTCCTAGGCTATCATTGATGACTTCAAAAAGTATATTTGCTGAAATTTTTATTTAAGAATGGTTTTTTGGCTTTAGCTAAGGTCTGTGATATTCAATGATGAAGGGGAACAAGTTGAAGCTATTGACCTTGAAGACTCTTAGTTTTATAGGAATCTTTCTTCTTTATCAAGTTGTCTTTTGCTTTAGGTTTTATTTTTATGCATACTGCATTACTAAAAATTGTTAAAATAATATTTTTTACGAACGTATCCCCGCCGTACCCGTATCCTAATTTTTCAAATTTTGTCGTATCGCCGTATCCGTATCGTATCGTATCCGTATCCCGTATCCGTATCCGTGCTTCCTAGGTTGGTGGATATGAAGCAATGGTTTTCAGACTTGGCTCTGAACGTGGCTGTTAGAATGGTTGCCGGAAAGCGATACTTTGGTTGTGAGGAGGAGAAAGAGGCGAGGCGGTGCCAGAAGGTATTCAGGAATTTCTTTCACTTTTTTGGGTTGTTTTTGGTGTCGGACTCAATTCCTTTTCTTGGGTGGTTTGATTCGGGTGGACATGTCAAGGCCATGAAACAAACTGCAAAAGAAATGGAAAGTTTTGTGGGGGGATGGTTAGAGGAACATCGCCATAAGAGAGATTCTGGGGAGGCTAAAGGAGTTCAAGACTTCATGGCTGTCCTGCTTTCTACTCTTCAAGGCTCAGACTTTGCTGGTTATGACGTCGATACCATCAACAAGGCCACTAGTCTGGTATACTATACTACATATACAGATATACCCTAAATCATAATTAATTATAAATTCTTAATTGTTTATTATTTATTATATTTTAAATCAATTCTTAATTATTATTTATTTTCTATTTTTATTTAATTATTTTTAAATTAATTATTAATTATGGTTTATATTTTAATTAGATAAATCGTTAATTATATTTTAATGGACATATTAATCTAATTTTAGAATTAGAGAAAATATTGGTAAAATTGTCTTTTTATTGTATAATTTCATTTTATTTTTCAAAAAATCAAACCCACTCTAAAAAATGGTGTGTGTATGGTACATCTTTTGTTAGTTTGGATGAAAAAATTAACCGTGAAACTTTAGTCCGAAATTATATAAGAGACTTCGGACAATATTTGAATATAGGAGGTAAACTACTTTAGCTCCAAACCACGAGAAGTAAAATAAATTTAATCCAAAATTTTTATCATCGAAACTACTCATGCGAAAGACAATGATAAATACAAATACTTGAGATTTTTAATAAATAAATATAAATATCTATATATATATATATATTTAAAATATAATGGGAAATCCATATTTATTAATGAAATGAAGAGTGATGTTTACCCTAGTTATATCATTTGTATGTGTGAATTTTTTGCAAAAACTACAACCAGTAAAAGGTGGGGTAAATATTTAGTAAGCTTGATAATTTTTATGGAGTGCAAAGTTTTTTGTGTTTTTTTACTCAGAAAAGATTTACACTATATTTGTAATTATTTTTAATCAAATCTCTAATCAATAGTGAGACTAAAACATTCTAAAAATAGTTCCTTCACCGATCATCATTTATCATACTTTTTCATATTTTTTAATCACTCAATACAAAATTATAATATCCCATATTTTCCCCAATTATAAAATTATCGAGTGTCACGTAATCATATCCAACAATCACAATGTTTTTGGTTTTTTTTATTTTTTTAATTTTTTTAATTTTTTATTTTTATTTTTTTATTGATGCAAGATACAAGTACTAAGGGGTAGAATACTCGTCGAATGTTGCAGCACTTCGGCCATTATTTATTATTTTATGTTATTTTTTAAAATACCAATATAAAAGTGATAATTTCATTATATTAACTAATTACATTCAAATTAGAACACCACATGTAAATACTACAAAACTATTGAATAAATTCTTACCAAACTTGAGATACTGAAAAAATAATATTAGGGATCATGAAATATATCATGAAAATTTTTCATCCTTTGATTAGTGTGCAATGTTCTATTGTATGTATAATCTAAAGGTAGAGAATCATTCATAATATTTTTTTATGATTCTTAACATTACTTATAGTGAAAGAATAATATTAAGGATTATGAAAAAATATGATAAAATATATCATGAAGATCATTAAAACCTTATATGACTCCAAATGCATACACTACAGACACAGGCTGCACATTACCATTTCACCCAAACTAGGGTACCTACCCCTTATAATATTAAAATCTAATTGGCTGAAGTGTGGGCTTTGCAATTTGCAGAATTTGATTGCTGGCGGAGGCGACACGGTTGCTTACAGAAAGGAAGAGAACATCAACAAAAAAGAGAGGGATGATGCACGCCATCACATGGCAGCACCAAACCAAGACCCTGTTGGTGAGAAACCAACAGAGACAACCTAATCAATACAGCAACCAACAGAGACATCAATACAGCATATACAAATCAAAAGATAGGCATGCAACCTAAACCAAATACAAACAAATCAGAAAAAGGCATGCAACCTAATGCTAGCAGAGGCCAAAAACAGCAGCAGATACGCAGCTACAAATTAGCAGATTATCCTCAGATACAGAGTAGTAGACCAGCCACACAGCAGCAGAAAAACAGATTAGCAGATAAGTAGATTATCACCCAACAGGCCCAGCATATTATCACCCATCAGTCCCACAAACAACCCTTAGATTATATCAGACCACACACCCCAAAAATCAGTCCAGAATCCAACTCAGCAGACTAAAAATTGATCAAAACCATGGCACTCCTCAATTGCATTCCTTAATCTGAGCCAAATTTATGATCATATCCCAGACAGAATACATGTTCCTTTTTATAGAAGCTTTAACCCGTAAAGCAAATCTAATCTTTATCAGCTCACCTAGCTCAGATGCACAAGGTTGCACTCCATTAAACAAACATTCATTTCTTAACTTCCAAATGGACCAAAGTATAATACAGGGCAAGGCTCTCCACAATCTCCTAGCTAATTTCTTATAATTCCACCATATCCACCAATGAAATAATCCATCAATATTCCTTGGCACCACCCATAGGCACCCCCACCAAAGCATTACATCAGACCACACCTGCCATGAAAATGGACAATGTAATAATACATGACTAGTAGGTTCATTTTCAACTTTACAAAAAGCACATAACACAGAAGCCTCACTGTTCAGAACACCTATATGTTTTAAAAAGACCCTATTTTCACTCTATTCCTCCAGGCCAACCACCCCAAAAATTGGACTTTGGGGGAAATGTCATTATTCCACACAAACTTACAAATTTGGAGAGAAGGGCCTGAGAGAGAATCACTGTACCGATATATATCTGAGACCTTAAACTTGTCACCAATAGACCCATTCCAAACAGGGTAGTCTTCCTCATTCAGACTTAGAGGAGGGGTCACAAAAAGCACTGCTGCCAACCTGATAGCCTCTGCTTTTTCCCAATCATATAAAGGCCTACGGAAACAAAAGTTCCACTCCCCAGAACTGGATTTCCTCTCAAAAAATAAGACAATGTGCCATCTTTTACTGTTGACAAACTAAACAATCTAGGAAATTCATCTTTAAGACAACTGCCACCAACCCACTTATCATACCAAAACTTGATTCTACTCCCATTTCCCGCCTTTATCTGATATTTCTCCACAAAGACTAGCAACTGCAAGAACATCTCCCCAAATTCTAGAAAATCTAGCTGATGAGTTTATAGGTGGGAGCCAGTGACCCTCCTCAATCATATACTTGCTGCACAACATTTTTCTCCAAAGAGCATTTACTTCACTTCCAAATTTCCACCACCATTTAAGAAGTAAGCTTGCATTGACATCCTTAATTCTTCTGATTCCCAACCCACCTTGATTCAGACTTTTAGAAACTTCAGTCCATTTCACCAAATGAACCTTCCTCTTCAAATCATTCCCACCCCAAAGAAAAGAAGCTTCAAGCCTTTCAATCTCTCTAACCACTCCACAAGGCATTCTAAACAAAGACATATAATAAATCGGCAAGTTAGATAAAACGGACTTTATCAACGTTAACCTACCTGCAAAGGAAAGAAGCCTTCTCTTCCACCCAGTCAACCTAGACTTTATTGCATCCAGAACTGGCTTCCAAGTAGATTTCCTCCCTGGATTAGCTCCCAAGGGCAAACCCAAAAATTTAAGTGGCAGTCCATGTACCTTACAATTCAAGATATTAGCATAGGACACCAATATTTCCTCCTCCACTCCAACTCCACATACCACACTCTTATGGAAATTTATCCTCATGCCAGAAAGAATTTCAAAGCATCTTAGTATCCGCTTTGTGATCACTATTTGGTCCAAATCTACCACTTATAATATTAAAATCTAATTGGTTGAAGTGTGGGCTTTGCAATTTACAGAATTTGATTACTGGCGGAGGCGACACCATTGCAGTTATGTTGACGTGGGCACTGTCTTTACTAATGAATAACCGTCATGTGTTAAAAATCATTCAAGAAGAACTAGACATACATGTTAGTAAAGAAAGACAAGTCGACGAATCAGATATTAGCAAGCTAGTCTACCTTCAAGCCATAATTAAAGAGACATTACGATTATACCCAGCCGGCCCACTATCAGGCCCAAGAGAATTTACACAGGACTACACCATTGGTGGCTACCATGTTTACAAAGGCACACGCCTAATTTTGAACACATGGAAGCTGCAAAGGGACCCAAACATATGGTCAGAGCCTTGTGAGTTCATACCAGAGAGGTTCCTCACCACCCACAAAGATTTTTTATTTTTTATTTTTTGATCGGCAAAAACGAAAAACTTTATTGATGAAAACCAAACAAAGTAAGGAAGATACATCAATAGAGAGGAGCTTGGAGCTAAGCGAAGCTCCAACCTCCTAGTTGGTGAGAAACCAACAGAAAAAGAAAAAAAAAAACAACAGAACATAACAAGCAAAACAGAACACAAACTAGAAAATCAGTGCAGTCCAAGGGAAGACACAACAGATTAGCAGCAAAACCCCAATAAACCAACAGCATAACAGATTCATTAAACCCCATTAAACCAACAGTCCAAAGGAAGCTCCAACAGCGTGATAGACTCCAATCCTCAAACCAACAGCATAACTGAATTTTGACAGATTCGCTGCCCATTTTGACAGCATAACTAAAGCTCCACTGCCCATTTTGACATATTCAAAACCACAACACTATGCAGCCCAACTGAATTCATAAACAAAACAGCTGAATCAACTTAACCCTTCAACAACATCACCACAATGCAGCCCAATTGAAATAATAATAAACCAGCTTAAACAAACTCGTCTGCCAACCAAACACAAAATAGAATCAACCCACAGAGGGCAACCCAAACAGATTCAGAGCAACAACACAATGCATCCCAACTTAATTCATGACAAAACAACTGAAGATTAGATACAAATGCAGGTCAAAACAGATTCAGATACAAATGCAGCCCAGGGATCAGACATAGCAAACCAGGACTCAGATGTAGAACAGCAAAAGACAGCAAGACATCAATGAACTACACACAGAGACAGAGTTGATTCAGGTTATATATAACATCGTGCACCGAATAATTAAACCCCTTCAAAGATGAGGATACCCACAAAGCTACTCTAGCCTTTATTAGATCTTCCAAAGCATTCTAATTCGGTTGTACCTTACTAAATAAACAATCATTTTTGCTTCTTCACACTGACCGCATAACTGCTACCGGTATTGTTTTCCAAACAGCTAGCATCTTCTTCTTCATTTTTATACATGACCACGACAGAAGTAATCCCTCCACTGTTCCAGGACTAACCCATTTGTAATTCCACCAGTTCACTAAATTGGCCGACAATTTCCAGATAAAAGGGCAGTAAAGAAAAACATGATTAACAGTCTCCAACTCAGATCTGCAGAACACACAGAGCGCAGAGATACTTGGACTTAACACTCCAATTCGTTGAAAAAATTTAGAGCATTTAATCCTTCCTCTCCATACTAACCAACTCAAAAATTGAACTTTGGGAGGGGCTAAATTGTTCCAAATACACCTAGTGACTGTCAAATCTACCCCTTGCCTTGCTTCCACCCATTTCCAAGTTGATGCCACAGTGAACTCTTCAGACGGATGAGCTAGCCAGGAACAAGAATCTACCACCCCTTCTTGGAGCCTAGGCGCATTCCGCAGAAAATCATTAAGTTTTTGCACTTCCTCCTCTTCCCATGCTAGGAGAGGTCTTCTGAAAACCAGATTCCAGTCTGAATCTGCCACTCTTCGATGAAAAAAATCAACCAACTTTCCATCTTTATGAACTGATAGTGTGAATAATTTGGGAAAAGACACACTCAGATTTTGGTTATGGCACCACCTATCAGTCCAAAAATGCAGCCTTCTACCATTTCAAACAACTAACCTGAAATTTTGCAAGAAGAAATCACGCAGAGCAGTGTTAACTACAACCACTGATATTATATCCTTCCACGTATGCAACAGCCACACTGAACTAGTAAATAATGGGCTCCATCCACCACCTAGACCTCCATACTTACTACATATCACTTGTTTCCACAAAGCTGCCTCCTCCTTGCCATACCTCCACCACCATTTAACTAGTAGGCACTCATTAACCTGGCTTAGGTTTCTCACCCCTAACCCACCTTTAGTTTTACTTAGGCATATCTCCTTCCAGTTAATTAAGTGCACTTTCTTTCGGATTTCAATCCCTCCCCAAAGGAAGTTAGCTTGAATTTTGTGGAGTAATTTTGCAATACCCACTGGCAACTTGAAGATGGAGAGAAAATAAACAGGCAAGCTTGACAGAACGGACTTGATCAATGTTAATCTTCCAGTAAAAGAGAGATACCTTCTCTTCCACGAAGCTAGCTTCCTCTTAAACATGTCTATCACAAGTTTCCAAGCAGCCTTTCTTTTTGGATTAGCTCCTAATGGTAACCCCAAATAACTCATTGGCAACTTTTGACTTAGGCAATTTAGCTTTTTTGCCAAGACCTGGACAATATCATCCTGCACACCTACCCCACACACCTTACTTTTGTGAAAATTTATTTTGAGTCCAGACATCAACTCAAAGCACCGTAAGATTCTTTTTACGGCTACAACTTCCTCCCACTCCGCTTCACAAAAAATAATGGTATCATCGGTAAACTGCAAGTGTGTAATTTTCAACTCAGTTGGACCTGCAGATACTCCTCTAATCAGGCCCACTTCCTTAGCTCTTTCCAAGAGAATGTTCAGACCCTCCGCTACAATATTAAAGAGGAAAGGAGAAAGCGGATCACCTTGCCTAAGACCTTTCATGGGCGAGAACTCAGAAGTAGGTGAACCATTTACTAGCACTGAAATACGAGCTGTGGATATGCAAGGCTTCTTCCACCCCACCCATTTCTCTCCAAAACCAAAATTTTTCATCATCGAGTACAAGAACTCCCAATTTACGGAGTCATATGCCTTTTCAAAATCCAACTTTAGGATTAGACCTTTCTTTTTTGACCTTTTCCACCAATCCACCACTTCATTGGCAATTAGAACCCCATCTATAATATGCCTTCCGCTCAAAAAATGCAGTTTGAACTTCACTAATAATCTTGGGTAACACTTTCCTCAACCTTCTGGATAAAACTTTAGCTACAATTTTGTATGCGGAGCTAATCAAGCTGATTGGCCTATAATCTCCCAACCCCACAAGGTTTTCCTTCTTAGGAATTAAGGTAATGAATGAACTATTTATTCCTTGAGCTAGCTTTCCATTAGAATGAAACTCATTCATCAATTGCACAAACTCTCCTTTCATGATGGCCCAACATTTCTGAATACATTTTAGATTAAAACCATCCGGTCCCGGCGCTTTATTCCCGTCACAATCTTTAACTGCTTCCCAGATTTCTTCATCCAAAAATTCTGCCTCTAACAACTCAGATGAGTCAGTTGGACTGATTGAGTCAAAGAGGCCTGCTAACTTTGGTCTATACTTCCAATCTTCAGTGAAAAGGTACTTGAAATGACTTGCCACTGCCTGTTTAATCATCCCAGGCTCATCCTGAATCACACCATTCACAGTAACTGAGTTTAACAAGTTTTTCCTCTGCCTTTTGGTTTCCATTAAATGGAAAAATCTGGTATTTTTGTCCCTATTTTCAGCCCAGACCCTTCTAGATTTTTGGAGCCACAACCATTCCTTCTTCTTACTCAGATCCCAAACTAATTTTCTTATTTCTACCCTTCTTTTGATCTCAGTATCTTGTAGATTCCTTCCTTCAGCTATTAAATCCCACTCATGCAATTCCTCCTCTGCTTGTTTCAGCTTCTCATCAATGTTACCAAAGACTTCACTGTTCCACCTCTTCAGATGGACTTTCAGGTTACCCAATTTTTTCAAAAGTCTGAAGCTAGCCCAACCACTAACTTGGTATCCTTCCCAACAGTTCTTCACTTCTGCTTTGAATTTGGGATGCAAACACCGTGCATTAATAAATCGAAATGGTTTTGGACCCCAATCCCTCTCATCATCCATAAGGAGTACTACACAGTGATCTGAAATACACCTAGGCAGTCCCCACTGTTTATACTTGAACTCTTCCAGCCACCTCGGGTCAATTAAAAATCTATCAATTCTACTCCATCTATTTCCATCCATCGCATTACACCAAGTGAACTGCCTGCCTAACATTTGCATATCTACCAGCTCCAATTTTTCAATAAATTCATTAAAATCCTTCATCTCTCTTTTTTCCTTCGAGAACACCCTTTCCTTTCGCTCATAAATCTGATTTCATTGAAGTCACCACCTATACACCAAGGGCTTGGGAAGGATGGATTCAGTGTTGCTAGGGACTCCCAAAGTTGTCTTCTTTTAAGCACATCATTGGGTGCATAAACATTAATAAGAGTGCAATTAAAAGTATGATAGACCATACCTGATAAAAGCATGTAATTCCTGGAACTGCAGCACTCCTTAAGCTCAAAAATCTGTGGATTCCACAAGCATAGCAAGCCACCAGCACTTCCTTCTGCACCCACCTCCATGTACTCCAGCTCCTCCCACAGCCATAAAGACTTTACAAAATTATCATCAACTGAGCTTCTCTTAGTCTCCTGTAGCAGAAGGACATCTACCTTCCTATCCCGAACTAAACTCTTTATTTTTGTTCTCTTCTCAGGTCTTCTCAGACCCCTAATGTTCCATGATAATAAAATCATCAAAAATCTACACATCTCCTAAAATCACTTGCCTTAAGTCCTGAACAGACTTACGAAATTCCGGCTACCCCTTCTACTCTCTCCATATCCTTCTCTTCGAGTTCAGTCAACTTGCCAATCACCTCATTCTCCTTACCTTCAAAGTCCAATCCCAGAATTTTCCCAACTTCCATGGTAGCTTGCGCTTCATTTAATAGCTTAATTCTCCTCCTGGTGTTGAGACTTTTCTCTACGGACATTGATATAGCAGCAGCTGCTGCTCTGAAGATAGCTTCTTTCTGGAAGCAGTTACCACTTATCACTCATTTTTGCTTAATCTGTTTGTTGTGCAGTTTTGACCTATTCGCCCATTACCATCATTCTTATAACATCTATTTACCATTGCTTGAGTGGGCTTTCCTTTCCTTGTTGGGTTGTCGTTGACTGTTACTTTTGACTTAGCTTCATGTTGAACAAGGGGCCTAAGTTGGGTTTGGGCTACACATGCACTTAAGTTTGAAGAATCAGTGATGGGCCTATTCTCCTATACCCCATTCTGAAACCCATCCAGCACCACCTCTAAGTTTAGTGGAGGCCTTAAACTCTCTGGCCCACTTAGGCTTCTGATAAACCCAGGAGTACATACATGGTCTTCAACAATTTGAATTTCATTTCTTGGACTTGTCGTATTCGCCAACCTATCCTCCATGTTATCTCCTCTAACTTTTAGATTTCCCATGTCATCCTCTGTTTCTTTTACAGTTGATACAGATAGGCACTCATTACCTTCATCTTCTTCCCCTGCTTCGCAGTCCACCATATCCTGTTTGGCAACGGCTATCTCATCTTTTCTGCTCAGCTCCTCATTTCTTGTGTATTCACCTTCATGTTCCTCCTTGTCTGGCTCACCATTTTTTGACAGTTGATCAACTTCATCTTGACCCATCGAACCAGTGACCTCATTTTCCCCTTGTCTAGCTCACCATTTTTTGACAGTTGATCAACTTCATCTTGACCCATCGAACCAGTGACCTTATTTTCCATCCAGGAACTGTTGCAATAACATGGGTTTCCTGCTGCTGGGATCTCTTCACACACTCTGACTGGAAATAGGCTTCCATTACATTCAACCTGTATCATCGTATTGATGAACTCCATTTTGGAAGTAATTACTCGTATCTTTCCCCACTGAAAAGAATTTGGAGTAGTAATATCATCGTCAAATTGGACAACTTCACCCCACAACTTGCCAATGTCTCTGAATGTATTAACATTCCACAAATTAAATGGGACACCCGCACATGTGAGCCACATGCACCTTTCCTGTTCAACATACTTGCCTTTTTCCCAATCTGTAATATAATCACACCATTCTAGCATCCACTCATCTAGCTTGGATCTGGCCTCCCTTTTGTGTTGCTGGGATTTGAAAGTTAGCATTGCTAACCTTCCTCCTCCTTCTCTGACTCGTACTTCCTCCATACCTCTTTTACCGACTTCCTTCTTAAACTCTTCGAAGGCAAGAAATGATTTCAACTTTACAATTACACTGTCATATAGCCACCCATTACCGGCTTCAAATGCCTTTACAACCAACTTCATCTTCTCATTACTGCCACCACTCTGGACTACTTCTGCAAAAGATCTTCGACCTATACCATCCGTCCTTCTACGTCCGAAACTCCTCTGTGGACGTTGCATCATCGGATCATCTCCTTTGTTTGTCATTGCATACTGTTTAACCTCTCCTTTTTTGAACTCTGCTTTCTTTACTTTGAGGGCCTTATTATCACACCATAATCCATCAGCCTTCAGCACCGCCATTTCAGCAGCCACCTTGCAATCATACCACACAAAACCAAACCTCGACTCCGTCGCTTTTCGTCTTTTGGACGGGATGAAGACATCCTTAACTACACCAAACTTATTAAACAGAGTAAACAAACACTTTGGAGTCATTGAGTTTGGGATCTCATCCACAAAGATAGTAACCACGCCATACTCCACTGATCTACCGTTTTGATTTGCAACTCGTCTTCTTCTTAGCACCGGATTCCATCCTCCAATCTCCATAGGAAGAAGAGTCTTTTCCACAATGGCCTCTTTCACCACCCACAAAGATGTTGATGTTAATGGTAGACATTTTGAGTTGATTCCATTCGGAGCAGGTAGAAGAGTGTGCCCAGGAATAGCGTTTGGCATCTAAATGTTGCACTTATTGCTTGCTAGGTTACTCCATGGTTTTGAGATTTTTCCAGCATCTAATGCACTTGTTGACATGAGCGAAAGCGCTGGACTGACAAATATGAAAGCCACTCCACTTGAAGTACTCGTGAAGCCTCGATTGTCTCACAATCTTTATTAGGCATGAAGTCTAGTAAATAAAATATTTTGTGAAATATGGGGACTCTCATTTTTTACTTGTGAAATTCTCAGTCTAAATTATTATGTAATTAATCCTTAATTGGATTAGATCTTCGGAGCACTAGCTTCGATGAATAAAAGTTTGGGTAAATTATATAAATAGTTCTTGCACGGTGTGTTTGTTTGGACAAATTAGATAAAAAGATATTAAAATTTACCGGACTATTAGTCCTGGGATACATTGTTCCTGGACTATTAGTTCTGAGATAAATTTTCCCGAATTATTTGGTTGGACTGGATTTGTATCTCATGTTTGTTTAGTTATGGGTTTAGATGTCAGGAAATGACTATTTGGTGTGATATGATATGAATCCTATATTTATTTGGGATATTATGGAGAGGATAAATGTTCAAATAACTACATTTTCAATTATTTACTAAGTAAAACATATCTTTAATATTTTAATTATTTTTAACTAGGTTAAATAAAATTTTATTTTATTTTATTTTTTGCACAATTAAATTAATTTTTTTTTAATTAAATAAATAAAATATCAATAAAAATATATGTTATTTTTTTAATTAAAATTTTAAATAAATTTATTTTCAAAAATAATAATAATTAAATAATGAAATTAAATAAAAAAAATCTATGAAAATTTAAATAATGAAATCAAATAAAACATAAACAAAATTTTAAAATAAAACAGCAATAAAATATTTATAAAAAATTATTTTAAAAAATTAGATAAATAAAACATCAATAAAAATTAAATTAAATTATTTTATTTTTAAATTAAGACATTTAAATTTTATTAAATTTTACTAAATATAATACAAAATTAAATAATAGATGGTCAAAATGGTCACTTCACCACATAATCTCATATTCCCCCTTATCCCTCCATTTGTGTCCCACCATCCATGGGATATAATAGTTCAATGGATTTAGGACTAACAACCCAGAGAGACTAATAGTCTGGTGCCAAAATTTTGAGCCAAACAACGGACTATTAGTTTCGATGGACTAATAGTCCAATCCCAATGAATAATCCCTCAAAACAAACGCATTCGTATTTTATACGATGTGTTAATTTGGTCATTGTTATTTTAATTTGCTCGATTTTGCCCTTTAATTTAATGAATTGTGTCATTTTAGTTTAATAAATAATGGTTGTTAAGTTTGGTAGACGAAAAACATAATTCTAAATTGCAGTATCAGGTAACGTAACGGTATCGATCACGGAGTATCGGTATCGGTAGTATCGACCGGTACGTATCGAAAATCGGGTGTCATGGTCGTGAAATTTCAAAAATATTAGCAATCCCTCTAAAACTTAATTTTATGCATTATTTATTTTTGGGACTCTTTTAGCCTTAATTTATCACATTTTAATCAAAATTTCGATATGTATATGCACTTTTGACTCATTTTCAACTAAATGATATGTATTTATTTTAGTCTCAAGCTTTTATTTGGCACATATGTTAAACTTTTAATAAAAAAATTGATGTGGAAATATTTTTTTCATTAAACCTCTTTACTTAACAATTAAACCTCTTTAAAAAAATCTGAAATAATAAAAAAATTGGAATAAAAAATCTGACAGATTAAACCTCTTTAAATAAAATAAAAAATTTGAACCACAAACACTCTTACTCTCTCTCTCGCCCCCCCTCTCTCTCTATCTCTAAAAGATGCAAAACAATGGCTTAAGAAGCCGATTACGAAACAGCAGGGGAAAAAAAATAGAAACAAAACAACAACAACCACAAAATAGAGCATAACAACAAACCTTCTTTGAAGAAGCTTAAAAGCGGTGGCTTTTCCGGTTTTGGGCAAAGTCGAGCATGCATTAATGATCGATTTGATGCTTCTCTCTGCAACACTTTACAAGATCGATGTCACTGGGAGATGGGTTTAGGTTTGATTGGGGATTTGGATTTGGTCCAATTGAGAGTTTTTGTTTATAGGTTGTTGTCTCCACAAGTTGAAGGTTGAAGTGAACCTCACACAGTCCAAAGAAAGAAGATTAGATCTATAGAGCCAAGCCACAAAGAAGTTTGATTGTGAAATGTGAAATGCAAATCTGTAACTGGTATCAAATGTGTATCAGAACTGTATCGCTCATGTATCGGATTCAAGCCGATACGTACTGGGAATCGGACGCTATGTCTGTGAATTTCATTCTTACTGGTATACCAGTCCATATCCAAATCGACACTCTAATTTTTCGGTAAGTACCGGCCGATAGTTAGAACTATGACGGAAAGTCTACACAATGTGTCAATTTGGTCCTTATAGTTTTTTACATAGTGTATCAATTTGGCCTCTATTATTTTAATTTGCTCGATTTTGATAGGGACTAAATTGACACATAGTGTAAACTACAATGACCAAATTGATACATTGTTTGACTTTCAGTCTACTAGACTTAACAACCGTTATTTATTAGACTAAAATGATACAATTCGTTAAATTAAGGAGCAAAATCGAGCAAATTAAAACAATAAGGATCAAATTGACATATTTTGTAAATTATAGGGACTATTTGCATAATCTATTCTAAAATTTTTCTAGCAATATCTTAGATGGTTGTTGTCATTTTGTTTTATGAATATATATATATATATATATATGTATATAATCTTGCTATTTCTCTAGCAATAGGGATTGTAAATAGAGATTGTAATAATTGGTATTCTAGCTATTCATATCGAGAAGAATATATACATATATGTATATTATATAATATAACTAAATACGTTGTGCCATGTTTGAGACTTGAAGTCACAAATCAATTTCTCTGGATTTACATGAATTTTATAATTTCCAAAATACGCATATCATCTGACAATTGGTTTAAAATCTAATTTAGCTAAATTAAAATATGGTAAATTATATTGACACTCCCTGAAATTTTGTCCAATTACATCTCACCCCTTGACATTTTAGATATTACATTTCTACCCGTATGGTTAATAATCTTATTTCACAAACTTCCTACTTATATAAAAGGCAACAACTCTTAGTAAAAAAATAGAAGAAATTATATTGAAAAAAGTAAAGCAAAGGAAAGGAGAAAAAAACAAAACAGTGGAAGTAAAGCAAGGTAAGGAAAGAGAAAGTGCGTAAATTCAATATTTTCATTCTGTCTAAATAATTAATTGACAGAGGAGTTAGTGTAATTTTCCAAAGGTAAGGAGGTGGTATACATTAAATCCAAATTTGAAAAGTATAAGTGTAATTTACCCATTTAAATAACATATAAATCCTCCTAACAATAGAACAATGTTTATGGAATTACATCACTTATTACTACCATAATAGAATCAATAATTATGAAAATGACAAAGATTTAATTCAAAAAACTTTCCATTGCCTTCAATGTCCTCACGTTTTTCCTCTACCCCCTATTCCTATAATAACATTTCTATGGGAGGCAAATCAATACCGATGGTTCTTTTCATAGTAATTCTATAATGGTAGCCTTTTATTATTTTTTATCCTTTAAAATCTTCTTTACTAGAAGAAAACTATTTTTTAACGGTATCATATTAATGGCATAAAATAAAAAAAAATCGTAATTTTTTACTTTTACGATTTCTTTTTTTCTTTTTCTTTTTTTCCTTCTTTTTGTGTCATAAATAATATACATATGGCATGCGCATTTCAGTTTTACAAATGTCATAAACAATACAGCAATGCTACATCCCACTAAAAGTGGTACTCTAAAGCATCATTAATAAGTTGTCACCTATTTTTTTTTTTTTAAAAAGAAAAAAACAAGGCATAAAAATATTGTGGCAGTGGATCCCACCTACTGTCACATCATTAATGATAGCACTAATTAGTATCCCCACTCATTTTTCTAAACAATAAGTCGTTAAATGAAATATTAGTAACTTTTTTTATAACTTGCCTTGTTTGCCATAAATAACAACACTTTTTCTGACATGGGGTGGTCATATTGTTAATACGTCAAATTTACACGGTAAAATATGTGGTCTTTGTACATATTCCACTTTAGACGACAAGTAATTGTTGACCGTGAAATATTTGACCGGAAATACGAAAGGCGCCAAAATAAAAAATTAGCACCAAAAAATTAAAAAAAACTTCCAAATAAACACCAAACACACAAGATCTTTCGGTAATTATTTCGGTTCCAATTTTCAATTTATATTAATAAAAATTTTAAAAATTATCATAAAACTTATTTAATAACTTTTTAGGTTTATAAATTATTGTCTAAGTTTATAAATTTAAGAAAAAAATATAAATTTAAAAAATGAATTTATGTTGATTTTTAAACAAAAATTTAAAAATTTGACTAACAAATTTTGGTTCAAATAATTTTTTTTCAATTTTTTTTTCAAATATTTTTTTTTATTAATTTTTTGTCCAATTATTTTTTTTCAATTAATTTTTTGTTAATTAATTTTTTTTTCAATTATATTGTGTATGATCCCAGTGTCATAAATAATAAAAAAATAAACATAAATATTTTAGATCTGAACAAACATATTTTTTAGTTTATGTTTTTAAAATTTTTCAAATATTTTGTTTAAACCAAACGCGTTTGTAGTTTATGTTTTTCTAAAAATAAATAAAAATCAATTTATAAAATTTCTATAAATATAAACAAAAAATATAAACGTTACCAAATGCTACCTACTAAAATTAAGGGTAAAATTACACATACACCCCTTGAGATTTGATTAAAATACAAGTTACCCCTGTGGTTTGGAAAATTGTAAATACCTCCCTATCAAAATTTTTTAATTAACAGAATTAATTGAAACAATGAAATTTTTAACTTTTCTCCTATATAATAATAAAATTATCTGAATTATTAATTGAAATAAAATTTTAACATCATTAAAAATTATTAATTAACTTGATGATTTATTAATAAAAAGATCTATTTATCATAAAATTAGAAATCTTAAGAGATATAATATAATTTTTGAAACTATAAAAGATAATTTATAATTTAAGTAAATCTCACTGTATATTTGTAATTTACTCAAAAATTAAAAGAAATAAAGTAAACAAAAGGCACATAAAGATAACCAAATCCTTTTTCTCCCTCAATAACGGGCGACCGTTGCTTCCGTCAGAGACACATGGAGAATAGCAGAACCCTTCACTCAGAGAGTCGGCAACGGTGCCAGAGTTCCATTTCTCGATTCCGGCAATGGTAAGGAGCTCATCCACTATCGTCATCACCAACCGTCCTCTCAACTCCCCAGGCACTTACTACATCTCATCCAATTACTCTCTCTCTCTCTCTCTCTCTCTCTCTCTCTCTCTCTCGTTACGTACATATGTGTATGTTCGTGTTTTGATAATAATGGGGGATATTATGGGTGTTTTGAAGGCAAGTGGTGTGGTTGAGCGATGTGGACATTGCCAAAGGTAATGCGGTTGATTTGTTCTCTCTATCACGTTTTGTCCACTGATCCAGGGATCAGCCTCCTCTCCAGCCTCCTCCTATCCGGCTCTGTCCAACAATATAAAGGCGATTGCGACATGTGGTGGGCTAGACAATCTAAGGCCTGAATGAGTCCACATCATTAAGAAGATAAATAAATGGAACGGTGTCGTTTTGGATAAATGGATCCGTTTTGCTTAACACAGTACTGTTAACGGATGAAAAAAAATAATGTATGTTTGGTTTCAGTTTTTTGAATTAAATTTTTTGAAAATTAAATTTTTTATTTTTTATATTTTTTTATTTTTAGTGAATATTTTTAAAATTAGTTTTTTGTTTTACTTTTTTATATGCATCTTACTTAGATATATTTTAAAATAAAATATTTATGAAAAAATACTTTTAAAATAAATAAATACATAAAAATATGAAAAATTTATTGAAATTTTATTTTTTTTTTGTACTTTTGGTATTTAGTGAATTTTTTAAAAAACAAAATCACAAAAATTATATTAAGTGTATTTATATTAGGTGTGTTTAAAAATTAAAAAAATTGTTTAAAATATTAAAAACAAATTAGTAAAAATAAAAATAAAAATACAGAAAACAAAAAAACAAATTTTGAAAAATATTTTCAAAAAATTAAAACCTGAATAATTTTTTATTTTTAATTTCTATTTGGCTCATCAGCCCACTCATCTCTCTCCTCACTCCTCTTCTCTAAATTGTTCATTCACTCCATCTTTGCCTAAATGAATTATCACAATCCAACTTCACAAAAAAAAAAAAAAAAAAAAAAAGAAGAAGAAGAAGAAGAAGAAGAAGAAGAAGAAGAAGAAGATTCACAGCTTCAACATCAATTATACAAAGCTCAAAAACCAAAGGTTCACCAACAACAAAGTTTAAACACAAAAGTTCACATCATCAAGAGTTAAGTCATTAACAACAATCTTTCATTTGTCTCTAAGATGTTTTGAATTTGAAGATGTACGTGGAGTTCTGACCAAGGTTTAGATTATTAACCTGTGAAAGAAAAAAAAATTAGAACAAGTTAAAAATTGTACACACACATTCATCAACATTTATTAATTTACATTTATTTTCTAGTTTGACATTTAAATTTTAAAATGCTAAATCGATAAAAATAACCCCAAAATCAATAATAATAATAAAAAATTGGTAGTTTGAATATTTCAGCAAGAAATTGTAACCTGATGTAGAGAGAGAAAATCGAATTTTATGGGGGTGGAGTTCCTCCCTTCACTGGCGCCGCTGCTACTGGGTTCTCCTCGCCTCCATGGGATCTTGTCGCCGCTAAGAGAGAGTGAAGGAATGATTAAGAGAAGAGGAGTAAGGAGAGAGATGAGTGGATAGTTGAGCCAAACAGAATTAAAATACAAGGATTTTTTCAAAAATATTTTTCAAAAAATTCTATTTTTTTATTTTTCGTGTTTTTTGTTTTTACTAAATTTTTTTAATGTTTTAAGCAATTTTTTTTTTACTTTTTAGACACACCTAACATAAATATACCTAAAAAGTAAAAAAATTTAAAAATTCACTAAATACCAAAAATATAAAAAAAAAAAATACAAGAATTCAGTACATTTTTTAATTTCTATGTAGTTATTAATTTTTTAAAATATTTTTTTCACAAATTTTTTACTTTTTATATACATGTAAGTAAGGTGCATCTAAAAAAGTAAAAAAAAATGTTTAAAATTTTAAAAATATTCACAAGTAAGGTGCATCTAAAAAAGTAAAAAAAAATGTTTAAAATTTTAAAAATATTCACTAAAAATAAAAAAACACGAAAATCAAAAAACTCAATGTGACAACCCTCACCTCTGATTAGTGTTAAACTGTGACTGAGCATGTTAAGTAATTGATTAGAATAAAATCCTAATTTGTTTGCATGAGTGTGTTGCTTTAAATGCATTTCTATCTGTTTGATTATTGAATGATATGTTCGTGTTTTTTTTTCGTATTGCGAATTGAAGGCCTTATCGGCGACCGATTCCGAAATTGATTAGTGTTATATGCTAATTAGGGTTTATGTGATTTTATGGTAAGTTTAATTCAAATTTGATTTGGAATGATTAAATTAGATTAAATAATGTTAAATTACATTAGTTTGCATTGACTACCAAATTGCCATTGAGTGGACTAATGCTAGGCCATTTATTTAGTCTTGATTCATGTATGTTGGCATCATTCTTCATCACTTTCTCTAGATCAAACCGTGAGCAAGAGAGGGAGAGTAGGAGAGCTTTGAATTCTTTTAGAGGATTGGCTTGGAAATTAGTAGAATTGAAGAAGATTTGTAAAATTGAGCTAGCATACTTGGAATTCAAGACCTAAGGTAGGAGACTCACCCTCTTGAATTTGAATTTGAGTTGTTTCTTGCATGGTTCATGGTAAATTAGTAATTTGAGTCAAGAATTAGCTTAATGTGTTAAATTAAGAGTCCATTCATGCATGCATGTCCATATCATGGAGTTTTGAGGTTGTTTTCATCAAAATTCTTATATGCAAGTTCATATTTTAGTTGTAGTTCAAGAATTCACCATGTTTTAAAGTTCAATCTTGCATTTGATCATGTTTTAGAACATTGAAATTCATAGGAACTCATGCATGTTGTGTTCTTGCATTGTTCTTCAAGATTCTTTGAAATTGGTGTTCAATTGGCTTACCTTTGGGCTTGATTTCATAAATTGATCTTTGAAACATATCGTATTATGGGTTTCTAAGTGTTTTGTTGAAAATTAGCCCAAAAAAATCGAATTTGAAGCTTTAGAAGTTGAGTTTTGTGCTTGAGGATCAATCTGGAAATTCTAGATTTTGGATCCGCGCTCGAGTGAAGAACTTCACGCTCGAGCGTAAACTTTGAGTACATGCACTTCTACTCGAGCGTAGAAAGCCACGCTCGAGCGTGAAATGCATATGCCCAGAAGTTCATGTGTTTTGCAGTCCGCTCGAGCGAGAGAATTCACGCTCGAGTGAGGGTCTGAGTCTCACGCTCGAGTGGAGGTCGAGCGTCCGTCGAGCATGAATATCATGCACCCAGTACTTTTCATGAGTTTACAGCCCGCTCGAGCGAAGGGAGTCACGCTCGACCGGAGCTTCATTGCCTGCTTGTCCGCTCGAGCGTATAAAACCATGCTCGAGTGTGGACCCCTGTTTCAGCAAATTTTGAAAAGTATTTTAAAGTACATTTTTTGCATCATCATCCCATCTTAGGCATTCCTAGGCCATGTTTAAGGCATCTTAATAAGGATAATGTTATAGAACCACACCGAGTCAAGTTAAGGGGCTAAGTTATTAATCCCAAGTGTGTAACTTAGTGTGTGTTCGTTCTGCAACTGTGTAGGGTTGGCACCCGAGGACGCTGGCAAGCCTGTCTTTAGCCCAGTGCTTTGTGAGTAACAATGTTGTAAAGATACGTTCAATTATAATTATTTCTGAGCGATTGACTGTACCGCTTTCTGAAATGACGTTACTTACTGAATGAATGTTTGTCCTATTTGTGAACTATATTCGTGGCATCCATAACAACTTACTGTTACTGTACTGTTACTGCTACTGTTACAGAGATCTCTGTCAGTTCCCATGTTTGGAACTACTACTGTTTACTGTTATGATGGTCGTCAACTGACTGTTTGGTCGATTAAGACCTACTATACTGTTTTGCTATTGGACGTACCACGTATGACTGTTATGAATTCTAAATGACTGATATGGCATGAAATATGAGCCACTGATTGAATAACTAATTTACTGATGCAAATGACTGTTTTACTTAATGAAAGGACATTCCTTTTTAACCCCTTTACGCATATGTTATTCACTAGGCACTAGCTCACTGTTTATATTTATATGTAGGTGTCCAGGCACCGGATCGAAGCTAGGAGCGTCAAGTTAAGCTCTTGTTTTATCAAGCCAACCATCGTGCCTCACTTCAAGGTTCTGAGTGCGTTCAAGCTAAGGCTGTTTTGGGGTGTTCAGGATCACCCTTTCTGTCTCCGTTATGTAATGAATGTTAAGACCCGTGACTGTACAGTTATGTTGAAGGAACTTGGTCCCTAACCCGGATGTCATGTATATATATGGTGTATGTATATATGTTTTGTTTATCAATGTGGCTTGTGCATAAAGTCTTTTTACATTCAGGTTTTCGCAGCTCATTGGACACCTCTCATTTACTGTTTGGCTTCCGCCAGCCCCTTTACTCTGTATTACTGTCATTACTGTTAAGCTGGCCTTCGGTAATCTCAGATTACAGGCCGGTTGCGATGCAAAACCCATAGGGGCGGGTTTGGGTCATGACACTCAATTTTCAAAAAATTTAATCCAGAAAACTCAAACCAAACATTCATCCATTAACAATAGGCAAAAGGAGGTCGTTTTTTCCAAAACAACACCGTTCCATTTATTTATCTTCTTACTACATGATGTGGACTCATTCAGGCCTTAGATTGTCTTGCCCACCACGCACTACAGCAAAATGCATCTTTGGCGACTAAAAAAAATTTAGTTGCTAAAATTTTTTTTAGTCAGCAAAAGTACAATATTTAGCTACTAAATTTTTTTAGTAGGGGTATATTTACTATTGGCGACTAAAAAAAAATTTAGTCGCTAAAAACACCACAATTGGGGACAAAAAAAAAGCTTAGTCGCTGTATATTGACTTTTTGCTACTAAAATATTTAGTCACCGAATGAGAAATAAAAAAATTATTTTTTCTCATTAGCGACTAAAGTTTTAACCGCCAAAAACTTACTTTCACCGACAAAAAAAAAAATTAGTCACCATATATTGACTTTTGGCTACTAAAATATTTAGGCGCCGAATGAAAAATAAAAAAAATATTTTTTCTCTTTGACGACTAAAGTTTTAGTCACCAAAAACTTACTTTCAGTGACAAAAAATTATTTAGTCGCTGTATATTGACTTTTGGCTACTAAAATATTTAGTCGCCGAATAAAAAATAAAAAAAATTATTTTTTCTCTTTGGCGACTAAAGTTTTAGTTGCCAAAAACTTACTTTCAGCGACAAAAAATTATTTGTCACCGATTAAATTTTTTTTTTTTTTTATCTTTCAACGATCAAAATTTAGTCAGCAGATGTGTTCAAAATTTTACAGGGAAACATTTGATATTTGGCGCCTAAATTTTTGCCCAAATCTATTCACACGGTTCTCTCTCTCTTGCTCTCCCTTTGATCAGTACACCAAACCAGACGTACGCTCAGTGACGATCACCACATCGCCACCACTGCACGTCGCTACCTCCACTGCTGCAAATCACAGGTTCTTGTCCCTCTCTCTCTCTGTCGCTTTCAGTCCTCTCCCTCTCTGTCGATCTGGATCTCTCTCTCTCTCTCTCTCTATATATATATATATACAATCCATACCTTGCAATTTCTGTTGTGGGTAATTTTTGTTTTTCCCTATTCAATTTGTCTATCATTTTCAATTTTGGGTATGATTTGAGCTAGTTTTTCTGGGTTTTTTTTTTAAATTATAATTATTTTTAATCATCGAAGTCTTAGGTGTTTGTTAAGTTCGCATCGATGTCGGACAATGAAAGAGAAGAGAAGGAGTTGGATCTCTCCTCTCCTAAAGTTGTCACCAAATACAAGAGCGTTGCTGAGATCATTAACAGTTATTCTCTCTCTCTATATATATATATATATTTGTATGTATGTATGTGTATGTATCTATGATTCTGTGTTTCTATATACGTAGCTTAAAAGTAACGCCTTTTGTTCAAGGACGAAGGAGAAACAAAAAAAAAAAAATTGGGAATTGAAATGTGGTTTTGGGTGGGTATTCATTAAATGTTGTGTTTGATTATGCATGTATGCATTGGTTTTTGATGACCTAATTCTACAAATTTATGGAACAAATTGAAAATATGCAGAGGCTTTGCAACTAGTACTGTCAGAATACAAACCAAAGGCTAAGATTGTTGATATTTGTGAGAAAGGCGATTCATTTATCAAACAGTAAGTTATCTCTCTCTCTCTCTCTCTCTCTCTATATATATATATATATAGATATATATGTATATATATGATTGTGTATATACATGGGTTTGAGTTTACATTTTAAATTTTAAGGTTCTTTTGATTCTAAATAGTTGCAAATATGTGTAATATACAGTCAATCTAGGAATATGTACAAGAATGTCAAGAAGAAGATTGAAAGAGGGGTTGCATTCCCCACTTGTGTTTCTGTGAACAACACTCTTTGTCATTTCTCTCCACTTGATATGGTGAAGATGTAAGTTTTATTTGAGCACCATCTATCTATATACCATGAGAGGAGCTAATGTTACTGTTTGTGAATAATGATTTACTTTTATGTTTGGATGCAGTGACATTGGGTGTCACATAGATGGTTTCATTGCTGTTGTAGCACACACCCATGTCCTTCAGGGAGGACCAGTGACTGGTAGCCAAGCTGATGTTATTGCCGCAGCAAATACTATAGCAGAGGTTGCCTTGAGGCTAGTAAGGTCGGGAAGAAAGGTAAAAATATATTAGGTTTGCATTTTAATTTTGTCTTAACCTAATATGAATCATATGATACCATTTTGAGTTGTAATTGTTGAATTCTTAGAGTGAGTAATGGCTTCTGTTTTTCTTTTTGTATCATAGACATTTGCCTTAATTTTTTTGGCCAACAATATCTACAACCTTGCAATAAAAAAAAAAAAAAAGATGCCTGATTGTTTTGTAGATGGTTTGGAAAAAAATATATGAAAGCATTTTATTGTTTGTGTGGTTGTGCCTTGGTGTGACTTGTTATGCCAGCTCATAAATCCTTCTACCTTCCCCTAAATGAGGAATATTCTGAATAAGCTATGGATTAACATCCAGATGAAGCTTTTGTCATAGTTACTCTGATACGTGATCTGTATTGGGTGTACTTAGCATTCTCCTCGTATGTTGTCACAAGACACAAATTTTATAGAATATTTTGAGATCAAATAAATTATCGATAGAATAGTAATATAACTGCGTACACAATCTATGAAGAAGACAACTTTGCCGAGGTGATCAATCTGTTGTTGATTCCCTCTTTTCCATGTTGCCTATATTGTACTATGCCATACTTGGGATGTTGTGGGCTGATTTATTGCTAATGCTTACAATTCCTGGAGGCAAAATCTTTTTAATCAACAGAAAAAACTTATGTAGAGTTGTTCTAGACCTTCAGGATTTAGCCTAGTCACTTCAGTGGGTATGGCAATTACTCTTTTTTTTCACCAAGTTGCCTTATTTGGTTATATTGGGTCACATACTAACTGTATTAGATATGCTTTTGAATTTTACAAATGATGAAATTGAATTGTATACTTCACCTGAGTTATGATTTATATTCATGAAGAAGATAGCCAAAGGCTATTAGTTTATCTCTGTATCGCTGAATCTCTTTCTTTATGGCAGAATAAAGATGTAACAGAAGCAATTCGGAAGGTTGCTGCTGCCTATGACTGCAAAATCGTTGAAGGTGTCCTTAGTAACCAGCTGAAGCAGTTTGTGATTGATGGAAACAAGGTTGTATTAAGTGTCTTGAGTCTTGAGACTAGAGTTGATGATGCAGAATTTGAGGAGAATGAAGTTTCTTAGACATTCTTGAAACATCAAATGTGTTTTAGTAAAAATTTTAGTGAATGTAGTATTGCTCTCATATTTTTGTCATGTAAATGCCAATTCTTGATTAACCTCTCAACCAACACTACAATAAATTAAGGTTTTAGAGGAGGGGAAAATGCAAAATAGCCACCGAACCACCGCATGGACGTCACAACCAGTTTCCTTACGTCAAATAGGACTTGTGATAACAGACAGAATGTCATTAGCACTTGTAGGTTGAGAGTTAGAGCTGAAAATGACTTAAACTTAACTGAAAAAGGGCGTTAAGGGAGCGAAAATGCAAAATAGCCCTCGAATCACCAAACGAACATCACAACCAGTTTTCTCACTTCAAATAGGGCCTGTGACAATAGACGAAATGTCATTAGCACGTGTAGGTTGGGAGTTAGAGTTGGAAATAGCTTAAACTTAACTGAAAAACGGCGTTAAGGGGGCGAAAATGCAAAACACCCCTGAACCACCGTACGAACGTCACAACCAGTTTCCTCATGTCAAATAAGACCTGTGACAAGAGACAAAATGTCATTAGCAGGTGTAGGTTAGGAGTTAGAGCCGAAAACGACTTAAACTTAACCGAAAAAGGGCATTAAGGGGGCGAAAATGCAAAACAACCCTCGAATCACTGTACGGATGTGTAGACACCCCATTTTTGACAGCCCATAAGACTTGGGCGTTACTGATGGTTTACTTGGTGATAAAAGGTGTGCAGGGCAAAGATCCAGTTTCTTCGGCAAGGAGAGAGACAAGTCTCAAATTCACACCCCATTTTGGACCAAAGCTATTTTGGATGGTTTTTAGACCTTAAAACCCTCTCTTTCAAAACTTTTTTGAAATAAAGTTTCTGCGATGTTTCGAGGCTCGCATTTTGTCAAACGTCGCGTTTTTCGGTAAATCGAGCAGGGACGAAGTGGGAATGAATGAAAGAGATATGAAATCTTTGAAAAATCTTTCAAAACACCTTGCTTAGGGGTTTGAAGTTGAAGAAAGGAGGGGAAGAGAGAAGAAACCAAGTTGGAGGAGAAGACAGGCATGAATCTGGGTAGAAGGGAGTCAAGCAGTCCTCGTTGAATCGGGCTTATTAATCTGCATACTTGGATTTTAGCTATGGGGCCACCACTGTCGGAAAGCTCACTTTTGGGGCTTCATTTTTCACTCAAGAATCTCTTAAAGCCAAGTCCGGGTGGGGGAGATATGATCAGTTGCAGTTGGGTATCATCCCGGTTGGATCGAATTTGCGCAGCTTCACCAAAAAGGGCATAACTTTTTGCATAGGAGGAATTTTAATGCAAGGTTTGCGCCATTGGAAAGCTAACTTCCGGGGCTTCAATTTGGACACCCACCGGCCATTTTTTGACCTTGGCAGCATCTATCGGCAATATATTTATCCGACCGGCAATTTATTGTGCCAACCGGCCATTTAAAATAGCCGACCGACCATTTTTGCTGGCCGACAACCTTCCGGAGTATTCTACAGATTGAGTGGATGCCAGCTGTGCCAGCTGGAGGGCACAGACTGGATCCTCCATGCATTTGCTCTTGGTTTGAAGCTTTTAAGAGAAGCTTTAGTCTCTTGGCTCTATAAAAGGAAGCTCTCCTCTTCCTTATACCAGGTTAGAAAACCTGCTGGAGCATTACATACAATCCTCCATATATCTATCTCATCCAAGCCTCCAAACCCAAAAATCCTTGCTCCATTTGCACTACACCCTATAGCACCACACCACCACTTCATTCCAACAGCTTGGAGGGCCTTCTCAGAGCTTTGGAGGCACATTTTCTCAAGCCAAAAGGCTGCTAAAGTTTGGTCTTCAAGGGTGAGCAACATTTCCTCTCTTTTAAGCTTATTTTTGTATCATTTCTAAGCCATACATGCTTGCATATTTGGGCTCCGACCCTAACTGGAACTAGGCTTATTTTGAGCTATTTTTCATGTTTGTTCAAGGGCCTCTCACTGTTTGAGGCTTCCTTTTTGCACTTACTTCATTATCCCTCTTGTATGCCATTATCTTGTGTAGTATTTTTGGCTTATGTATAAACTGTTTTGAGCTCTGTCATGAACTGAAAAGTTGCTTATTTTAAGCCCTTCTTCAACATTGTTGAATGGCTCATTACTGTTTGAGGCTTCCATTTGCTACTTGCCATTATATCTCTCTTTTGGCCATATTTTTGCATGATTTGTTAGCCTCTTTTGCTTCTGTTTTTGGGCTGTGGTCCGAACTACAAATGGCCTTATTTTGACCCGATATTCATGTTTCATTAAGGGTCTTTTATGGTTTGAGGCATCCTTCATACACTTTGTGTTATATTTCTCTTTTGGGCCTTATTTTGTGTAATATCTTAGGCTTGCATGCATACTGTTTTGGGTCCATCCATCTACTGTAAAGTGCTATATTTGGGCCCCTCTTCAACATTGTTGAAGGGTCCCTTTGTGTTTGAGGCCAGCAACCACCACTTGCTTCTTTGACCATCTTTTGGCCCATTTCTTGCATGAGAGCTTAGCCATACCCCTGTTGGTTTTTGTGGTTTGTTGTATACTGTAAAAGGTCATATTTTGGGTCCCTCTTCAACATTGTTGAAGGGCCCTAATCTGTTTGGAGCCGACAGCCATCACTTCCTTCTTTGTCTCCCTTTTGGCCCATTTTTGCATGCTAGCTTAGCCCCATTTGTGTTCGCTGTTTGGCTTTCCTTAAAACTGTAAATATGCTTTTTTTGGGACTGTCTTGAGTCTGTCTTTACATTTCATGTTCGAATAATACATGCTTTGTATAGCTATAGGTCATTGCATATGCCTAGTTTTGCATTTCGGGTCTCATTCCATGCTTCGGGTGCCATGCTTTCATGTTTCGGAGCTGTTTTACATCACTTTTTGCTGCTGAAATTTGCATGCTAGTATGCCCTATTCCATGTTTTGCCATGTCATGTTAGAGTGGCATTTCGTGCCTTAGGGTCGATCCTCGGTTTGCGTGCACGTGTGCACGCATCTCGAGTGTCTCATTTTCATCTTATGGCCTCTTATGTGAGTGTGGCTGAGGTCCACTCATGTTGGTGTAAGTCCATTGTGCATTGTGTATGCCATTTCATTTTATAGCATTGCGTATGCTAGGTTGTATATTAGAGCATTGTGTATGCCATGT